CAGCTATTGCTTGTTTGAGAGGATTTAGGAAGTTGTGAAGCATGAGCCAAGACCAGCCATTCATATGGAAAAGGCGCTGCTAACAGCTCAAGCAGGCCTGTAAGTTGGGTGGGATGGAGTCTCAGATATGGCACCCGCTTGCCCGCTCTGTGGCTCTATGGTGAAAGGTTCAGAAAAGGGACGATGGCCTCTGCCTGCCTTTTTGTCTGGAGAAAGCTGTCCCCAAGCTCTCACCTTGATGCCAGATACTTCAGTTCCTCCCTGAATGCTTCCAGTGCCTTTCAAGCTGCTACCCTGGTGCTGGAGCACAGAGGGATTGAGTCTGCGTTAAATCCGTGTGTGGGTTTTAAGAAGAACTGCTTGGCCCCCCCCGAAGTTTCTTCTACCTACTCAGTCCCTGCTGATTTTTGCAGCCAGAAGTTTTGGGGACATAGCTTCCTGGCACTGGAACCTTGGACTGGGGTGCCAGTTGTGGGACTGAGGCTCCTCACTCCCAAGATATCCCTCTCAAATTTTTATCCACCACACTGGGATGTGGGACCAGCCTGTTCCGCATCTCCAACCCTCCTCCTAGTCTGGTTGGATGTGGCTTCTTTAATTCCATTGTTGTCGGACTCCATTCAGCTCCAATTCTGATGGTGCTGAATGATGGTGGTTCTATAATTTAGTTGTAATTTTGACGTGGTTGTCTGAGGAGGTGAGCTGTGTTTACCTATACCACCCTTGGAAGTCCCCTTTTAATTCTTAGTCAGCTTCGGTTCCGCAGTGTTCACTAGTATTTTATGAGCCCCACCCATAAAATCTCCTCTAGTCTGTTACTGTTGCAAACACCATTATGTCAGACTTCGGGTTTTTCACAAATTCTGTTACCCAACATTGTACTCAATAATAATAGCCAACAGGTATTGAGCTCTGACAGTATGCCAGGCTCACTGTCTGAAGTACTGCTCACAGATTAACTACTAATTCTTACGACAACACAAGGTAAACAGAAAATTATAAGTACATATCTACCGCTTCTTAGTAAGGAAACAGATTTGGGGAGATTTAAAGTTGCCTGAAGCGTAAGCCTTGGGTGTGGGTTTTGAATCTAGCAGTTTGACTCTGAGCCTATGCTCACTAGAGGACCTCCTGACTCTGTGAGGTCTTAGCTGTGGTGTCCATCACTATGTCTGCTGTTCGGAGGCTGGCTGCCAGGCTCCAGGAATCACAGAAATCACTGTAAAGGAATTTAGTTATAGTCCTAAAGTAGCTTTTTTAAAGAATGATAAAAACTGTTTTCTTGATTGCATTATTGTATTATTTGGAGGGATAATATGAAAAAGTGTGGTTCTGTTCATGCTTAGACTTTATAGAAATTACAACAGTGTGGACCATTTGGCTTAGTTGGCCTAAATGTGGTGTCAGGATTTAATGCCGGCTTTACCACTTTCCCCAATCAAATTATTTATTTCCCCAACTTTTTATTTTTTGCATTTTCAAAAATTTAAAAAAGTTTAAAGAAAATTACAATCCACACTTGGATTAACCAGTTGCTAACATTATACCTCCTTTGTTTTACCCTAGGTATATGTACTTTAAAATCCTAAACCAGTAGAAAGTTGTAGATCCCATGACACTTTAACTATTTCAGCATGGCTAGCCTAAGAATAAGGGCATTCTATTATAGAAACAGAACACTATTAACATACCCTTGAAAATTAATAGCTCTATTGTTTAGTAGCCAGTTCATATTTAAAATTCTTGGTTTTTTCTGCAATGTATATTTTTAACCTATGGGTTTGTGTATAAATTTAGGATTTAATCAAAGTTTGTACATTGAATTAGGTTGTTTAAATCTTGTCTTTTAAAAACTAGAATTATCTTTCCACCTTTGGTATTTGAAGAGTTCAGGCCAATTGTCTGAGAGAATGTTTTACATTTTGGCTTTGTCTGATTGTTTTCTCATTTTGAGATTCAGTTTACATTTGTATAATTTGGGGGCTTAGTCTGGAAACTGATCTTGTATATGACAGGAATAAGTATCAAACATAAAGGTTGCATCTTTTCAAATGTCAGTGTTTATCTTGCCTTCAATTTGGAAGTTTAAAGAACTTTTGAATTCCACCTGTATAGTTGCCCCATGTGTATTTACAGAATTTTAGAGTATGCTCTTCTTGTGTCTGTGAGCTATACATTTTTTTCCAAAGGTCAAAGTAGAGTAATGTTTCAACTCTTAAACTATATATGAAGAAATGATTCCTAATCTCAGCATTATCAGTACTGTATGCTGGTTAGGATCATGGACGCTGAGACCAGACTGCTTTGATTGAAGCCCAGCTCTGTCATTGAAGGACTTTTGCATTTAAGCAAGTCATTTAACCTCTCTGTTCTCTCTTTTCCCTTCTATAATGGGAACTAATATTAATATATACCCGAAGGTTGTTGGGAGGATTAAATGTAGTATTGTATGTAAAGCATTTAGAATGGTTCCTGGCATATACTAAGTATGATTTAAGTGTTGGTGGTAATTATTATAGAATAGCTGAATCATCTTAAAAGTTATCGCTGAGGGAAGTAGAAGTTGTATAGCGGTAAAAATCATGAGCTTTAGAGTCAGACATGCTTATATTCAAATCCTAATTCTGCCTCCTTTGCTTTGTGGTTTAAGCAAGTGACCTAATCCCTCTGAAACTCCATTTCTTTAACCTATGAACCAGGAGTCACAATACATATCTTAGAGAGTTGTTATGAGAATTAAAGTAATGTATAAAGTGCTTGGCCCAGACTAGGTGCTAAAATAATGAGAGAGCTCTCTGACACCTCCCACCCCTCTGTTCCATTGTAGAGCAATATGTGCAGTTTGATTTCTTTATGCATTTGTTTGAAATTTTACAACTTCTAAAATTCTTTCAATTTGCTAAGAGCAGAGTAAACAGCTGTTGTTTAATTGGGTACACCTTTATAAGTATAGTGTATTGTCACCATTTTCCCCCCCTTCCTCTTTGCTGTTTTGGGTTACTAGTCTTATTATGGTCATTCTTACTAGAATCAAGATGGTAGACATTATTGTTTTTTAAACTTGTAATTTTTAAAAAGAATTTATTTATTTTTAGAGAGAGGGGAAGGAAGTGAGAAAGAGAGAGACAGAAACATTGATGTGAGGGAGAAACATTGATCAGTTGTCTCTCATATGCGTCCCGACCAAGGACCAAACCTGCAACCCAGGCATGGGCCCTGCCCGGGAATTGAACCAGTGACCTTTCCCTTTGTTGGGTGACGCCCAGCTGAGCCACCCAACCAGTCAGAGCAAGATAGTATACATTATTAATCAGTCACAGAATTGAACTGAGCTGCAGTCTCAGAATCTTGCTTCACAGTATTCCAGATAGCTACAATGAGTTCATGAGACTTCATATAGTAGTGAAATCACCTCTTCCTTAGAGCTTTTAAGAAGAAATATTTATGGGATTATGAAAATAATATCTGGACTGTACATTAATCCTCTGTCTTGAGATGTGGGCTTGTCAAACCTTATGACAAAGCAGAGTGGTCTTAAAGCATTTCCTAACAGAGGCTTATTTACAGTATAACATTCTTACATAACGTGGGCATCTTTAGATATCCTTTAAAGGTGGTGCAGTAATTGTAAGAGTATAATACAATGACTGCAATTCAAAGACTATAATGCAGTGACTCAAACTAGAGTTTGCTTCAGCATGAACTAGAATGTGGTCTTAAAATACTCATGCTCTAGCCCTCACCCCAGATTTATTGGATCAGATTTATCAGTAGGTAGACCTTGACATACACATTTTGTAAAAGAAACCCAGATGATTCTGCTATTATACCACTGGTTAAAAACAACTAGATACTGGCAAGAATATAAAGAATCAAACATCTTCACACACTAGCGGTATAAATGTAAATGCTGGGTATAGCCTACAGAACAATTTTTCAGTATCTATCAAAATTTCAAATCTGTTCCTTAGGAATACATATATGTACAAAGATAAAATTTCAAAAAGTTTCCTATAGGTTAGTTCATGATATCAAACAATTTGAACAACTAAATGATTATCAGTACCCAAATAAATACATTATAATAGGTACCACAGTTGTTCATGGTGCAATCACTTCAAGAATGAAGTATATATGAAAATTATACATGCAGCTGTAGAAAGACATCTAGGATATCTTAAGTTGAATAAGCAACTCACAGAATAAACCCTATTTTTAAAATTCATATATTTATGAATATATGAATAAAGACTTGGAAGAATACCCAGCAGGGTGTTTACAATACTTATTCCTGACAAAAGAATGGGGATGATGAAGTGGGAGAGCAGTAGGCATTTATACTTTTGTATTTAAAATACTTGCAATAAGATTTTATTTTTTTGTAATAACAAAAAGAACCACTGACAGAACATGAATGATGTAAAGGATGCTTTGTGGAACCTAATTTATATATGTCTGCGCTGCTTATATTGCAAATGCCAGGTTTAACATGAGAATTATAATCTCTAACTTGTGAAACAAAGACTGTTTTGCATGTTTGAAAAGAGGATACAATTTGTTACTAAAGTTATTGTGAAAGTAATTGAGTTTTAAGCATATAAGAATTTAAGATTAAAAAAGAGTCCTGTGTCACAATTATATTGGTTACCTACTTTAAAAACATTTGGTGTCTCTGCATACCTGGATATGAAAATTAGGTTCAACATATTTTAAAGATTTATTTATTTTTAAAGAAAGGGAGGGAGAAAGAAAGGGAGAGAAACATCAGTGTGTGGTTGCCTCTCACATGCCGCCAGTTGGGGTCCTGGCCCGAAACCCAGGCATGTGCCCTGACTGGGAATTGAACTGGCAACCCTTTGGTTTGTAGGCTGGCACTCAAACTACTGAGCCACACCAGCCAAGGTGGATTCATGATATTTTAGTTTAATCCTTTTTCAGTTGATTAGCTTTTTGCTTGTGAGGATATTAACACCTTTTTATTTCCTCTTTTAAAACTTTAGGCCCGATGAGAGAAAGGGAAAGTTAAGGATGCTGGAGCAGAACAATGGATTTCTCTTTCTCTTTCATGCAAGGGATCATGGGAAACACAATTCAGCAACCACCTCAACTCATTGACTCCGCCAACATCCGTCAGGAGGATGCCTTTGATAACAACAGTGACATTGTTGAAGATGGTGGCCATACACCATATGAAGCTACCTTGCAGCAAGGCTTTCAGTACCCACCTACAACAGAAGATCTTCCTCCACTCACAAATGGCTATCCACCATCAATCAGCATGTATGAAACTCAAACCAAATACCAGTCTTATAATCAGTATCCCAATGGATCGGCCAACGGTTATGGTGCAGTTAGAAACTTTAGCCCCCCTGACTATTACCATTCAGAAATTTCAAACACAAGACCACATGAAATTCTGGAAAAACCCTCTCCTCCACAGCTACCACCTCCTCCTTCGGTACCACAAACTGTGATTCCAAAGAAGACTGGCTCACCTGAAATTAAACTAAAAATAACCAAAACTATCCAGAATGGCAGGGAATTGTTTGAGTCTTCCCTTTGTGGAGACCTTTTAAATGAAGTACAGGCAAGTGAGCACACAAAGTCAAAGCATGAAAGCAGAAAAGAAAAGAGGAAAAAAAGCAACAAGCATGACTCATCTAGATCCGAAGAGCGCAAATCACACAAAATCCCCAAATTAGAACCAGAGGAACAAAGTGTAAGTTGAAACATCTTTTTGAGAAATTTTGTAATATTTCACATTTACTGGAAGTCCTAGAGATATTTTTCAGTTTTTATCTCTTTAAATATAAATATTTCTGATAACTTCTAATTCCTAGCAAGAAGCTTAGGATATTAAATAGGTGCTGACAAAATATTTGTTGAATAAATGAATGGACATCATTAAACTGAATGGATATTTTATAAACATGTGGCACTAAGAACTTGCTTCTTATGTTTCTTTAGTAGCCTCACTTTATTTGCTTCTAATAAACTTGTTTCTGAAGTTGAATAGAAAAGGCAAAGAGAAGATTGTTAATTATTATATTTTTTTATTATTTTAGACCAACCTTTGCCAGTAGATCCTAGATTTAGCACTCACCATTAACGCGTTTGCTTCAAAGTAACCGGAAGTCATAGAGGAACTTTTCATTAAAATCAGTTTAGTTTCATATATATTGATTAAAACTTCAGATGGAATTTTAATAAAAGCCATTCTTCTTAGGTAACTTAAGATGCATACTGCTGAAATGTTTTTTTTAAATCTTGCTTTTCAGTTGACTGGTCTAAATCAGGATTTAGAGAGAGACCACATGTTGCATTTGATAGATCTGTCCCTTAGGACTTCTTAAATCTAGAGGTTACCCCTAGTGCGTTTTTTCTTACAATGTATTTGATAAAGAAACTGGGTATTTGTCCTTCAGAGGGGTCCATATTCTGGAATTTGTTAATCGCATTCCAATGATGTCGTTTAACAAGTTCTATCCCAGTATTTCCTGTAAACTGGGAGTTAGGTCTAGAGACTTGCTTTCATTTAAGTTTTTGGTTCATGTTTATTCAAACCCTTTATTGTGGTAATCAGTGTCATACGCCAGTGGAAAGAGCTGTGGAACTCTTAATCTTGTGATTCCTTATGTAGGTTGGGTACCTTCAGGCATGATTTTTTTTTTTTTTTTTACATTCTTTTTTATTCCCATTCTCCCACTCCCTCTGCTTTGGCAACTATCAGCTTGTTCTCTATATTCAAGGGTCTATTTCTGTTTTGTTTTGTTATACATTTTTTAAGAGTCCATATATATGTGAGATCATATGATATGACTTCCTCTGTCAAACTTATTTCACTTAGCATAATACCCTCTGGGGCCATCCATGTTGTCACAAATGGCAAGATTTCATTCTTTTTCATCATTGAATAATCTATTATATATGTACCACACCTTCATTCATCTATTGATGGACATCTAGGTTGCTTTCATATCTTGGCTATTACTAGTAAGGATGCAGTGAACATAAGGGTGCCTGTATCTTTTCAAATTAGTGTTTTTGTTTTCTTGAGATAAATACCCAGAAGTAGAATTGCCGGATTGTATGGAAGCTCTATTTTTAAATTTTTGAGGAATCTCTGTACTGTTTTCCATATGGCTACACGAAGGTGCTATCCCACCAGTAGTACACAAGGGTTCCCTTTTCGCCTCATTCTCTCCAGCTTGTTTATTGTGTATGGCGATAGCCATTCTGACAGGTGTGAGGTAATATCTCGTGGTTTTAATGTGCATTTCCCTGATGATTAATGATGTTGAACATCTTTTCATATGTCTGTTGGCCATCTGTATGTCCTTTTTAGAAAAATATCTATTCAAACCCTCTGTCCATTTCATAATTGGATTGATTTGTTTTGTTTGGTGTTAAGTTATATCAGTTCTTCTTATATTTTGGATATTAATCCCTTACTGGATGTATCATTTGCGAATATTTTCTCCTATTCAGTAAGTTGTCTTTTTCATTTTGTTGATGGTTTCCTTCACTGTGCAAAACCGTTTTAGTTTGATGTTGTCCCATTTGTTTACTTTTTTCCTTTTGTCTCCCTTGCTCAAGTATCTATATTAAAAAAAGATACTGATAAGAATGATGTCAAAGAGTTAACTGTTTTCTTCTAGAAGTATTTAATATCTCTGAGCTTTCAGTATGAATTTTCTTAATAATAATAATTGGCATGTAACAAATCAATTATAGCTTGAATGAAGAGTTTTTAGTTAGTATCCTAATACATGGTATGAACTGAAGATGTTTTCCACACATCAATTTAGGAAGAATTGAATATTTATCAACAGCTGTCTGCTTTTACATTTGGTATGCCTGAATAAGTTAATTTTATCTTATGTTCAAAGAAACGTTTACTTCTTACCAAGTTACCTTTTCCATGGTAGCTAGATTCCACTACTTTATATAATTCAAATGGGATCTTTTTGTGGAGTAAAGTCCACACTTGTTCTATACTCTCACGAGTTCCAGTGTGATATTTCAATGTCTTTTTAATTTTTTTCTATAACTTTCTTATTTACTCATTTAGTACATATCAACTGACTACCTCCTGTGTGCTAGACATTTTTCTTAGAATTGAAAATAGGGCAGTGATTGAAAAGTAAAGATGCCAGCTTTCGGTGTACTTCTATTCTAGTATGTATACATGTAAGTTCAAATAGTGTTAAGTATTTTGAAAAAAATAAAACTGGGTAATGAGATAAAGAGTAATCAGAGACACTTTATGGTTCTTCAGAACCATAATGACTAAAGTTGTGTGAGAACTATAAAGTGAATCTGTAAAAAGGAAGGTTTTGGAACTGAATGATTTCTGAAATGTCTTTTGATTTCTTGTGTCATTTATTAAATGCCCCCCACAGAACTGAGCTCACATAGTATCTTATATTGACTGTTTATTAATTAAATGAATAAATGAAAGGAGAGAAGTTAACTTTGTGCACTCAGGTACATCCACTGTAGCACTTTCCTTGATCTGAAATAAAAAGATATGAGATGCACTGTAACCCTTGGGAATCACAGAAATGCACAAAACCTGAACTTGGTTTTAGGTTTGTTACTGAGAACTGTCTTGCTGGCCGTCTCATTTTTGCTCTAGAGAATCTGGCGAGTTGGAGAATATACAGTTTTATTTAATAGGCTGAACCTTTTGCTTTTATTGATAAAATGAGTTTAAAATATATCTTACAATAGAAATAGGGCTGGAAGCAATTAGAAGCAGGATAAGACTGGCTATTTTCATATCTATTTTTTGTGTTATTGCAATCCAAGAATGTTTCTAATGGTCATTTTGCAATGAGATTTTAAAGCCAGTTCTGTCTTTGTTGGATGTCTGCTGTGCTTTATACCGTTTAAACCATCAGTCAACTATTATATCCAGGTATTAGAATGGTTAGATATAATATAAAGGTTGTAGTTAATTTTCTTCTTTAGTAAATCATGTAAGGCATAATTTAATATTTCATTATTTAGGATCTCACAATATCTTGAGGTAAAGGAATGTCACTTTGTAGGTGTAGATGTAGAAAGTGGCATTGATTGTGTCCAATATGTGTTATCAAGACCACTGTCTGAAAGTTGAATTTTGGGGGAAAATTCAGGGTTTTTTCTTGTTTCTCTCTCTCTTCCCTCTCCCTATCTTCCCTCTCTCTCCCTCCTTCTTCCTCTGACATCCTTCTCTTCCTTCCCCATCTTTCTCTCCCTTCCCCATCTTTCTCTCCCTTTTTCTCTCTCTCCCTTCTCTTCTGCCTTTTCTTTCAAAGACATGAAAAGCTAAGTTCTTTTTAGTTGAATTTTGATTAATCGAAATTTTTATCACATAGGGGGCAGTTAAAAGCTTAAGAAGTGGGTGCCATAAAAGTTGTACTTTATTCTGACAGAACTTTAAAGATAGAGCTCCCAAGACTTTTGCTCCTTAATGTCATACCTTTGCAAAGCTATACAGATGACTAGTGATGTGCCCAAATCGATGTTTTGTAAGCTAGTATTTTTTTAATGGAATTTCCTTAACTAGAACAACAGTGGTTTTGCTTCCTTTGGGACAGGTTTTTTTTTTTGTTTTTTGTTTTTTAATGCTTTAGTTTATGATACCTTTGTGCCTTCTGGTTGTCACTAGGGGTCCAAGCCCTTGGTGTTTAGCACTATCAAGGGCTTAAGAAGCGGAAGCGAAGCCCAAGTAAGAGTGCTGACTGCACTGGACAGTTCCCGGCCCCCAGTGCCTTAGGGAACCTTAATGAGAACTGTGTGCCTGGAGGAAAAGTTTGGAATGTTTGTTCTCAAGCTGATTTACATGTGTACTCATAGGTTCTTTTTGAGCAAACAAAATCTCACTTAAAGATTTCACTTTTTCTTTTCTTTTTTCTTAGTATTTGATCTACGAGTATTTGCTTCCAATTTTGAGCTCTTTGGCCTTCTAAAGAGCAGATGTAATTTGGAACAACCTAAGTATATCTTCTCAACAATGAAAATGTGTCTGAACATCTAGGCACCAGGAGACCTGAGATCACTACTGAAATTTTATATTTTTTAAAGCTGCTGTAGCTGTTTTTCCTCCCGCCAAATTAGAAACATGTGGAAGTGTTTCTGCATTTCTTCCTCCTTGGCAGGTGTAATGCCTCAGGCATGTGAGTGAAGGCCCTGTTCAAACATTGGTCTTCCACCGCACCTCTGGGCTTATCCACTAAGGGTAGTCTCATTAACTCTTAGCTTGCCATTTTCACGTATAAAAAGCTAAGTGCTGGTTTAGTCCCATTAGCACTAAGTTAGAAATTGTATTTGGTTCTCTAGCCTCAGAATGTTAGGTTTTAAAATTCCTAGAACCTATTCACATGCAGAGTGTTCTTTTGTACAGATTTTTTAGTTTTTAAGATTATGAACTTAAGCAGTTATTCAGAAAGTGAAAAAAAGGACAATTTATTTGTCCTTAAAATTTTCTTTTCACTTTAAATGTTGACATAAGTTTTTAGTTCTTTTAGAAAATATGAGTGTGCTTAATGTTTTGAAAATTATTAAGGGTTTGGAGTTCTGCCAGATTTAGTGCATATTATTCATGTTAATAAATTGCTTTGGTTTGAATAAAACTACTAGACGAAATTTTTAAAGGGGAGTATTTAAGATAATTAATTTTATTTCAGCTCCTCTCTTAACATTTTTTTTTCCTATTTAAGAAAGTTCCTGTGA